TTAGAATGAAATCTTTGTATGATGGAGAGGTAAAATGGATATTTCGAGGGCTAAAATTTGATGGGTGGTGAACAAGAGTTTTTGGAAGGCATTGGTAGGGTTTGGGGGTCTTAGGAGAGGTATTAAGAGGACCTGAATCGGAATCTTTTCAAATGAAGGGGCAAATGAGGGTTTTGGGTTTATAATTTGATAGGAGGTTATCTTAGGATATTTAGAGTCTAATGAGAGTGTTTGATGGATTTATAGGTGTTTGAATCATAAGAATCTAGGTTATGGGCATTTCGGCCGATAAGGGGAGTTAATTTGGAATCTCTTCAAATGATAGGGTAAAATGAGAATTTTAGGGATTAAAATTTGATGGATCATGGATCAGGGGGTTGATGGAGGTTTTGATGGGTTTGGCAGTGTTGGATTATGGGTTTTAATTGTAGTGTCTGGTTCATGAAAATAGAATCTTTGACAGGTAGATGGCAAAATCAAGGAATTTAAGGGTGAGATTTGGATCGTGGGTTTTAATCATAGCATCTGGTTCGTTAAAATGGAATCTTTTTTGGGTTTTGTTTCATATGATGGAGTCTAATCATGTGATAAGTGTGGTGATGGGGTGCATTTGTGGCCGTCAAAAGGGAATCTTGTAGTTTTAATAGTGAATTTAGGATTGTTTGAGTTGAAATTTGGTCTTTTACGGTTTTGACATGCTCTGGAGAGATTGGTGAAGTCTGATCAGGCATTTGGAGTGTGAGGAGTGGGTCAAAGAGGGGACTGAGCAAAAATCGAGTATTGACATAGGGCTAAAACCATGAATCAGAACCTTTGATGTATTGAAGTGGCTCTCCACCTTGAATTCGATTAAGTGTCATAAAGTAGGATCAAAGGCCATAATTTTATGGTTTTAGCCCAGCTCTTCTCCAAGTGGAGTAGCTAATTTCTTCTTGGCATTGAGACTTTACCTCACATGCAAGGAGTCTAGATGAGGTGGCCTAATTATAAGCACTCCGTAAATTTTCTCACACAATCCCCTAAATACCCTCATTCTACCATTAAGCTTAATTTGGAAAGAGTGCAAATACAAATATAGACATTACAAATACATACAAAATACAAGGTTTTGCACTAGATATTTGTATTTGTACTCCTTCCAAACTAAGCCTTTGGGAAGAGTACAAAAACATATACAATGCAAATATAAGGTTTAGAATTACAAAATACAAGATTTGCACTTTACATATTTGTATTTATACACTTGTGCATTTTTTTATGAATTATACTCTAGTGCATATTTATATTTGCATTATTTTCAAATAGAGCCTAGCAAATTTTTAAGAGACCCAAGTAGATTAGGAGAATTGCTTGGAGAATGTTGTTTCTGACAATCCCTAGAGATTAAGAGACCTAAGGAGATTATGAGCCAAGCAAATTTCTTAGGAGAATTGCTTCAAATGGTTGTGTTATATGGAAATCCTTGGAGAATGTTGTTTTGAATTTGAAGACTTAGCTTGTATTTTTTCCAAAAATTCTGATTTTTTTGTACTTGATGCTACTCGATCCGAGGTAGTGCACGAACCGAGGAAGGCAGTCAAATAATCCTTGCCAATAGGGTAGTGCCGAGGTAGAAGGACGAGGCCGCACTTCAAGATCTGTGATCAAGAAAGGGAAGTCAAAAGATCGAGGAGTTATCCCCGGGTAGGCACTCCGATGCTCAAGTTAGTAGAAGGTAGTGGATGGTCGGGCCGAGCAATAAGGGTGCTGGTCCAAGCAGAGTAATAGTATGGGTGTCAGAAGTTCGATCCCTTACCTTAAGCATGGAATACCTCTTTATAGCCGAAGATTCGTGTCCTAGTTGGGTTGGGCTTCCGGGGTTGCCGGGATGAGGTTAACTGCCGAGGTCCTTGGGATAGAGTCCTATTCCCCGGCGGAGTTGTCTTCCTCTCTCCTCTTATCTGTAGTTGTGCTTATTCGTGTTATGTATAGCTAACGTGGTTGAGAGGATAAGATGAGGGGCCACAGTAATAGCGTAGCCCGGTCGAGGCCGTGGAGCCAGTGTATGCCGCGGAATTGGCCGAGCTATGCCAACGTAGCCGGGATGACCAGGCGATGATTGGGCAGCCACGTGTCTCTTAGGACCAGCTCAGCCATGACCCGAACACCACTCCCTCAGTTTTGAAGCCGAGGAATGAAGTGTTTGGCTGAGGTGTAACGCGACAGGACGCTTTGTTCCTTGGCTGAGGAACTCCAAGTTGAAGTCTGGTTGAGCGTCTGGTCTACTTGGTGTTCCTCGATGCTTGCCAGAATTTGGGGTCCACGTAATGTGGGTTGTGGCCGAGGAGTCCTTCAATCGTTAGTTGTAGAACTCCAAGAATCCTAACTTCGGAATCCAAACACCACTCCCCCAGTTCTGGAGCCAAGGTGTTGCGCGGTCATTTAGCCTGGCAGGGCACCGAGGTGTTGAGTTCCTTCGTGGTCTGGATCTTCCTGATGCTTGGTGGTGTTGTGCCGAGGAAGGGCTCTTCGTTCATCGGCTGAAATGCTGCATGGTCGTTTAGCTCAGCTTGTTGCTGAGGTGAAGTTAAGCTTCGAAGTCGGGGCCTCTCTGATGCTCGGCAATGCTACGCCGAGGAAGGTGCCGCGCTCCAAAGTCGGGACCTCTATGATGCTCGGCAATGCTGGGCCGAGGAAGGTGCCGCGCTCCGAAGTCGGGACCTCTACGATGCTCGGCAATGTTGTGCCGAAGAAGGTGCCGAGCTCCGAAGTCGAGGCCTCTCAGATGCTCGACAATGCTACGTCGAGGAAGGGCTCTCTGTTCTTTGGCTGAGGAATTCGTTCTTGAAATTTCAGAATCCAAATACCACTCCCCCAGTTCCGAAGTCAAAGAGTGGAGTGCCCGGTTGAGGCACAGTGTGACCTCCTTTGGTTGGCGTTCACTGTTGGGCGTCCTAAGGAGACCTGAGAGGCTGATTCGATCGGTGGTCCTGGGTGGACCTCGGGCATCCGCGGCGTTGGTTGGACCGGTGCTTCCGGGCAAACCAGGGCAATTAATATCCTTATTGTTGCTTGTCAAGATCGTCTCTTCGGTGTTCCCGAGTTTCGTCAGAGCAGCGCTTGATCCCCATCGTCGATCTAGCTTTGATTCATGCTCTTGAGGGTTATAAGGGGTGGATGGGCATTTCTCTTTTGCCATTTGCGAGAGGGATTGCTTAATTAGCTTGGCGAAGGGTTGTTGCGTTGCTTGGCTTTTGTTTTTTGGTTTCGCGGCTTCAAGTCCGGTAAGATGTCTTCCCCATCTTCCCGTTCTTCCTCCTCTASTTCCTCTTCGAGTTCTAGTGGATCTGATTATGAGTCTGAGGTTGGGGATTTTGAAACTGCCGAGGTTGAGGAGGTCGAGGTTGGTCTCTCTAGGGTAGAAGTAGAGCGTCCCTTGCGGGCTAGTCACCGGTTTGGGACCACCCTCTACATTTTGACCTCCGGGAATATGGCTAGAATCCAAGCTGTATGACATCCCCGAGGAGTTCGGGATGAGGTGTCTGCAGCCCGGTGAGATGCCAACGGATACTCAACCAGGTGAGATATGTTTGTACGAGAACAATTTAGAAGCCGGACGGAGATTTCCTCTAAATGAAGGGATTGCCGGGGTGTTTGGGTGGTACCGAGTATTGCCAGTGCAGCTAATGCCGAATTCCTTTAAATTTTTGGTTGGCCTTATGTCTTACTATGCGGTCTGTGACATCGAGTTGACCCTGGGTATGGTGAGCTTCCTCCTTCAATTGAAACATCACCAGCAAGGCTACTACTATTTCTTGACTAGGAAGAATATCAAGCTGTTGGTCGGGGCCCCCTCTTCTGTGAAGCATTGGAAGGAGACTTTCTTATTCGTGCATTGTCCCGGGGGCCTCCCCTTCCCATTTGTGTAACAACTACCGAGGACGAGAGTGTCGTAGCCTCAGTGGTCTGTGCTCACCTGGGAGGAGAGGTCGGCCTAAGCATGACTTATGAGATAGACGTAACAGCATACACATGCTCTGAGATGTTGATGCTCGCCGGGTTGATGCGTAGGGTGGTCAGTCTGTTCTTTTTGTCGCTTCGGTATACTTGTTGAACCCTTACTTTTTCTTTTTTTGATCTTATGCTTATTGTTACGATTCCGTGGTGCGGGTGTGGAGATGGCAAGCGAGAAGGAGATTGTCCGCCGAATGAGGGAGAATCGGCAAAGGCAGAACCGGGTTGATGCGTAGGCGCAGGTTTGCCCAGAGGTAGTTCCTCCACCGAGGTCTTCCGAGAGGGCAACCCGTCACGAAAAAATGATTCAGCAGTGGGGAAATGATGTTGGGGGCAGCAGCTAGAATATCCATATGCCGCATTGGTTGGTCCGTAAGAGGGACGGGCTAGAGACCAGGGTTCCCGAGTAGCTACTCCACGGAACAGCGTGAGGAGGTCGAGAATACTAGAAGCTGCCGACCGCCGCTGTTAAACGAAGAAATTTTTGAATTTTGAATTTTTTTAAATATATTACTTTTATTAATATTAGGGCCCAAAAGTTGCCCTTATATGCTAATACTCATCCCTGTATTTTGTTTGCTACGAGAAAACTCGAAGTAAGGTGTGACTATTCTTTTCCTTTTTGGATGAGCAAGCTATGGCTAATTCCTTTTCCAATCTGGACCTATATATCATTTTTGTTGGAATGAGACAGGGACCAATAAGGCAATGATTGGTGAAGCAATTCATTTTTGCCTGGAACAAGCAAGAAATTGGAGGATACCCCGAAAATTAAAATGAAAAAAAAAATCAACATTGTCTATTTTATGGATTTCAGGTTTGCAATCTAATGCGTTCAATCTTTGAGGAAATTTTTGAATCCACAGAACACAAATGGATCAAGAACAAGAAAAACAAGCACACATGATATAGCTGAGATTTACATTGATTATGTCAAAACATATTTGTTCAATTCCCCTCTGTAAGATTCATTAGAATGAAAAGATATATAGTATATACAGAGTAGAGAAGAGCAAAAGAAAGCACATATTATTTGTTTATTTACTCTGTTTAAACACATGATATAGCTAAGTTTTACATTGATTCTGTCAAAACAATAATTGTTCAATTCCCATATGTAACATTCATTGGATTTGGAATGAAAAGGTATATGGTATATAATACAGATCAAAGCAAAAGAAAAGCACATATTGTTTGTTTATTTAATCTGTTTAGGCCTAATCTCAATTCCTTGGATAATAAGACCACACTTCCAGTGACCACCCTTCACCTCCATGAGATTCATCTCCACTTCCCCATCTTCTCCTCTGTCGTTAAAGAACTCACCCATCTCTATTTCCAGCCATCCATCTTGTCTCTCCTGCGGGTACTGTGCCTCCTGTCGACCCTCCAACATGGGCGGTCGCAACAGGCTGAACCTACGGCGGAGTAGCTGGCTGAAAGTCATTCTATTTCTATGATACGGCTGGCGAGGCGATTGAGGATCCAGATACACACTGCGGACGTCTCCGCCCTCAGTTCCAGCAAACCTCACGGACAGCTCTGCTGGGAGAATGTCAAGGCCTCTTCTATTCTCCGCCAGCTTGAAAACTAGGTAAGCTCCGTAAATTGTTCTCGGGGACAGCATTCTTGTCTCTATCTTGCCATGGACTTCAAGCCAGCAAACTTCCAAGAGTTCAGCCACCTCTGAGAACCTGCAAATTCCATTTGAAACTCAGATTTCACACATATATTCATAGCCTCATAGCAAAGAGAGAGAGAGAGAGAGAGAGAGAGAGAGAGAGAGAATTGATACCTGGATTCAGGGTGGAATCTCCAGGCCCAATACTGGGGAGTAGAACCCCATACAATGGAAAGCTCATTGGTTGCAATCATAAAGCATTTCTTCCCACTGCGTCTTTCCAATGCGAAACTCTGTTCCAAGTAAAAATTCAGTTTGAATTACTGGAATTAGGAAGGGGAAGATATCAGAAACTCGCGTGTTCTCCACGCGGTGCGAATCTGATCAATACGCAAAATCAACCAAAGACAAAGAAGCGAAAAATTTTCAGGTGGTTTGGCGATTGGTATTCACCATGGAGCGGAGAAGTCAGAAAGGGGTTTACCTTTTGGCCGTCGTCGATGAGGATGGGGTGATCGCAGAGGTGAAAATAGAGGTCTTTCTTCGATGGGAAATCCACTGCAGAGGCTGATCTTGAAAGGATATCTCGATAATCAGACGGCAGAAATCTCTCCCACACGGCATCTGAATCTGCCGCCGATCGAAACTCTGATGAGACCACCAACGATCGGCACGCATCCTGTGGAGACGTGAGCGAAATGATATTCGAAATGCAACCCTCCGGCAAGGCGTAGAAACCCACTGTTGTGCTGCTACTCCCTTCTTCCATTCTATTCTCTCTCTCTCTCGCCTCGTCTTCTGAATTTTGATTGTCCGCCATTTGTTGGCTCTGTATATATGGGATAACAGTGGAACAGGAATAGAAGAAATCTTCGATGTCAAGGAATAAGGATCAGCGGTGGGGTTAAAATTACTAAACTGCTCGGAAAATTATTACAGTTTTACACTTTTACCACACCCATGAACGCGCTGAATTTTGTTGTCGACAAGATCGGTTTCGTCCCACAACGTCTGCGCCCCACAACGTCCCACAGCACATTCGTGTATTGGGAATATATTCTGATGATGACATCTAAGGGTGTAACATTTTATATTTGTATGATTGCAAAATTGAGAAAAGCAATTAACAAGGGAATTTATGAAGTTCACATCTCATCCCACAATGGAGCCACTCACAATGCCCTACAGCATATCCCCGTCGTGTATTAGGAATATTTCCCGATGATGATATCATTGGGACTGGTACTATCACCGGGAGATATTCCCAATATATAACGAGATGTGATGTGGGGTATTATGGGGCGGCTCGTTGTGGGGTGGAGATATTATCTTGTCTTTATGATACATAAGCATCATTAGGCACCACATCAGCAAAATATCGATAAATGTTTACCTATTTTAGGAAGCTTCATAAAATAGGAGAAACACACAAAAATCAAGTTTACTTTTGCAAAGTTTAATGCATACAAATGCAATTGATGAGGCATTTGTTGATAAGGCGCCTATATGGCACCGTCAATAAACATTTAGTCCGCAAACAAAAACAGAACCAAATATATACATTATCATTTCTACTATTATAATCGAAAGAGATGTGTTGTGGAACTTGTGGGGTGCAGATCTGAACTCCATCTTGAAGGGCTTACACAGTGCCGTCTGGCTTAATAAAGCAATGGTATTGAAAACCTACGATATGCTTTAATTAAGGAGTCCCGTATCACTAGTCAACGAAACACATTGCAACAAATCGCACAAGCCATGCATTATGTATGATGTGCCACCTCAGATTCGGTTGGAAAAGTATTGGAACGTCCTGTGTTGGTAGGTTATCCAATTCTCTATTTAGTCCTTAATGAATTCGGATTCAGTACTCACAAAACTGAATTTGAATGTATTCATCATAGGTGTATTTATATTTTTTGTGTAAAATAGTAAAAAAAGATTTTTTTTTCGTTTTAGTTATCGAGCTTCAAACTTTTATTTTTATATATTTTATATATTATGAAAAGCATATAAACCAAGTGATAGTGCTTCAATTGATACCTTATCTAGTTAGTTGTAGTAGAGACTTGAGTTGTGTAGTCTTATAAAGCCAAAAAATGTGCTTAGCATGAGACTAATAACCAATTTAAAAAACAATTTCAAAATTGAACTGATAAAGATAACCAAAAACTCACATTTAGTTCTTCCTACTACATTTTATTATTGAACCAGAACAATCCATTAAACAAATCTGCATTAAATTAAATTAATAAAAACAAAGGAAAAAACTTGAACCCAAGGAAAGGAGAAAAATAGAGGAAAAAACCTAGTAATTCAAAGATAGGAGCAATGATTTGTTTAGATTGGATCACCCTATGTATTGATGGGCAAATTTGGGTCCAAGCTAAAGTTTATATTTAGATTGATCCTTAATCTAACCCGACCCATCTAATTTACACCCTACTTTATTAGAAAGAGTCAAAAGGGATTAAGGGATATTTAAGAGGAGAATAAGGATTGAATGGGGAGGAGAAATGTTACAAACATTGACCATTAAGGAGAGGGAGAGATTTATTAGAGAGTAAATATGGATTTTATTAGAGACAATAAAGACCCATGAGGTTTTTAATGATTTAATATAAAAATAAATGTGCACATGTGTGAGAAAGGAGAGGAGGAGGAGATAGTGTAAGATCTGTGGTGAGAGGACCCTCACCTCCCTTCTTTCCCCTTTATATTATATATGTAGATTTGCCCTAAATATGAGAGATGATCCAAATGCATGGACCGATGTGACTATGGGGTGTTTTTGGGGTGCCCTCTTTCTGGGGAGTCCATCTGAATTCCACAATACTGTTCTTATAATCCATTGTAGTTGTGCATTAGAAATATCTTCCCATGAATAAAAAAAAAATACATGGGAACAATTACCAAAAAAGAATAAAAAATACAAATATGGAGATATTCCCAATGCACATGGCTGCAAAAGGGTGTGAGAACGATGTGACTTGTGAGGATGGTTTTGTGAGGACTAAATCTAACGTTGTGTTTGATTTGGAAGAAAAGGTAAGGAAAGGAAGGGAATGTCAAGGAAACCTTAACAAATCTTGTATAGGTTTCCCCAGTGTTTTAAAAACCAACTTGGAGGTCGAACCACTTTTGCCTCTAGGTCGAGGGTCATCGGTTCAATTTTAAATTTTTATTTGTAAAAAAATATTAAAAAATGCAATTTGAGGCCAAAAAAGTTTTTTTTTTTTGGAAAAAAATAATGACGCAAGGAGCCTGATCTCAAAAAGTTACCAAAAATAAATAAAAAAAATCACCTCAATTGGACACCGGAGTGCAAAGTTATGGCCTCATGAAGTTTGCATACACACTTAGTATGCAAMCTGAAACCTTGTCATCAGGTCGAATGGGTTAATCTAACTGTACGAGTCAGACAGGTTTTGACCAAGTCAATGGGTTTTTTTACCCTCTCTAGGTTTTACTTAAACCGGACCCGGAATCTTGATCTAGTGACAGTTTGAGCAGTTAAACCAGTTGGGTCAATGGCAAATTGAAAACACTGGGTTTCCCTACCATTCCCTTCCTTACCCTACATTTTTTTCAAACCAAAGACAACCTAAATACACAAAAATATTTAGCCAACTTCATATTTAAGTCCAACTTATCCTGGTCCAAAAGACATTAGAATCACTCCAAAGCAAACATTTTTAGCCACCTATGAATTAGAAACCACCAGCACATTGTCCCATCCCCTCATAGCTATCAAGGTCATCCTTCTTAAAATAGCCCCTAATTCAACTTCCAAGGGCCTACTTACACAAATTATACCTCTTCATATAGCCAAAATTAAAGAGTTATCACTATTTGGAACACCAACCAAAAACAACCTAAATTATCATTTAAAACACCCCCATCACAGTTCACAGAGGAAGATTTTGCAATATGAATCAACAAAACCCTCCAAATTAGACTCTCATGAAAGAATAACAGTATAACATTCCAATAGCACTAGAATTATCAAACAAGGCCCTTTGAATTTTCCTAGGAATTATAACAGGGGAGGGGTTTATTTTCTCATTTCTCTCTTTCTAGATAAAACACCAAGCCTCCAACTTAAGATATCATCCAAAACAAGAGCAATCACCACATTATAAAATAAGTAATCAAGGAATTGTTGGAGAGAAGAGAATCCTATGGCTCTCCTAAAGACATCAGACTAGSTGCTAGCAAAGCAAATGGCCCACGAAAAAAGGACACTCAATGAGAAGATGAAATAATGATTTCAATTCCCTTTGGCACAAAGTGCAATTTGAATCTTGAGTAATTTCTTGATTAACTAAATCTTGTTTAGTCATTAAAATGAAATCGTTTGCAATTCTCTTGAGAAAAGGCTTAAGTCTAGGGGAATTTTCAATTTCCAAACTCGTTTTAATTGTTGATTAACTTGTTGCGTCTGTATTGCTTATATATATTAGAATCTCTAGGCTCCTCATACTGGTAAACTTTCTTGGTGGACAATTTACCATTACCTGATCTAGTCCAAATCACTCTATCATCCACTTTGWAAATGTGTTTCAGAAATCAAATCCATTTCCCTTTGTTGGAAAACATTTGCCAACATTTGCATATTCCATTCTTACGAATGTTACACAAYTAAATCTTTGATTTTCAAATCATTTAACTCAAAAGGGGGAGGCCCCATAGGACAAGTAAATCCATCTTCTATTTTGATCCAGGGGTTATCCCAGACACCCAAATTTGTCGGTTCTTGAACTCGAAAACCTAGTGACAGGACTAAATCCTATAGCTCTTGAGCAATATTTTTCCAAACCAAAGATGTTGATGGAGGAATCTTTCTTGTAAGTCACTCATTATTGGATAGGTGTTTACCACGTAGAAGTTTGACCCATAATTTATCTATCTCATTCAAAAATGCCAAGTAGTTTGGCAAGATAGCACCTTGTTTAATAAGTTCATACATCCAAGCCCATGCTCACCTGCCTCTTTTAATTTATAGATGTTACTTTAGATAGCCCATTTCATTTCCTTCTCCCTTTCTTTTCATTCCACCATAACTTTCTTTGAACCCCTTCCATTTCCTCTAGTATTGTCTTAGGAAATTTGATCACTCATGTAGTAAGTTAGAATAGATTGAAGTACAGATTAAATAATGACCTTTTTCTAGCATAAGAGAAGCTTTCCATCCATTTCTCTCTTTTCCCTATAA